AAAACAGCGAGGGACAATAATGCATCAAGTCGAGTTTTGGCACGAACGGGACACGCTCCGCCCGCCCCGCCCCGGCCCGATACACATGAGGACAGGCGGGTGGACAGGGCCGGACAGACTGCGGGACAGGCCGGGACAGCCGGCAGGCCCCTTGGGCAGGCCCCTCACCCCGCCCTGGTCACCTTGATGAGGCTTGTCCTGCCTCCTCGCCTTGCGCAAAACCGAACCGGGCGTGGCCTGGTGGCGCGCAGATGCGGCGGTAGTCCGGCCCGCCCCGCGCCCCCGCCCTGCTCTGGAACCTGGAACTGGGTCCGCAGGGAGCTCCAGGGGCGTGGCAGGAGCAGAGAGGAACTGGACGTCCGGGGAGGGAGGGGGGAAGGCTGCACTCAAGGGCAGAGCAGTCTCCGAGTGGGGGTAGGCGATCACGACCTCTAGGGACAGCGACCGGGCCGGGCGCCCTCCGGTGCCCTCCGGTGGTCCCCCGGTCAGTGTCCTCAAGGCCGCCGGTCGGGTCCCCGAAGGGGTCGTTCACAAACCACCTCAGCTCGCTCGGCTTGCACCGTCCAGGCGTCCACCCGGCTTTCAGCTCACTTCGAACGCGCAGGTGCTTGTATCGATAGCATCATCGTTCGAAACACCTTTCAATGGTGCAACCCCACTCGAAAACTGGGCAGTTTGTGCAATGGACTGGGTTGCACCCGAGGGTCCGGGTACTTCACAATAAATTCAAGCATACGATTTTTTTCTGTTCTTTCTGGATTTTTTGTAATTTTCCCTTTTCAAAAACTTTTTCTTCATTCTTTCAGCACCTCTCACACGTTGGGAACTTATGTTGGTTGCACCTAACAAACGGCTTGATTTCCATTTCAGGTGGCACTCTTCTCTGTCGTAGCAGCAGTTCCTCAAAACTTTTACTACCAGACGGGTTATCAGCCTGCCTACAAGACCGTGTACCAGCCAGCATACCAGCATGTGTACCAACCAGCATACCAGCCTGTGTACCAGCCTGCGTACCAGCCTGCCTACCAGCCAGCGTACCACTCAACTTATCAAGCGTTCAACCCACAACTGGTGCCACTCCCACTTGCTGCGCAGAGCTTTGCTCATCCTTACATCCCAGCCGTTCCAACCTTTTCCATCTACTCTGGACCAGCTCGAGCCGGCTATTCATATCAGACGCAGGATGCAGCAGGAGGTCATGGCCAGGTAACCACCTATCAACCACTATGGGACCCACAACAGTTGGCATATGGGAATTAAATGACGCTCTGTGTGTTTTTCTGTTACAGGTGATTTATGTTTCTGGTCCAAACAGTCAACAGATATTCCAGCAAAATGCTAAGCAATTGCACTTTGCCTTTGCTGGTCTCCCCACAACACTGCTGTCGAATGTTTCACATGCAGCTACAGCCTCCACAGCCACCTCTGTATCTACAGACTTTTCATCCTCGACGGAGGCACCCATTTCCACTGACTCTCCAGCCTCTGGAGACTTTTCAGGCTCTACAGAAGCTCCTGCCTCTTCTGACTTTCCTGGCTCTACGGAAGCTCCTGCAACCTCTGACTTCCCATCCTCCTCAGTCTTTCCTTCCGCTGACTCTTCATCCTCTACTGGCTCTCTACCACCAGTTGACTACATAAGAGCTGAAGTTTTGCCACCTCAAACAAGGTTTCTGGTTGGCACCTACCCAGTGTCGCTATTTGCTTACTCTGTCCAAACCAGCACACCAAAAAAAGTGCAAGCTATTAACAAAAGTTCTAGCAAGGCAGCAGTTGAGGTAAAGAGTGCAGAGAAAGAAGAGGCTGAAGATACTACTTCAGACGCGACAACAACGCTAGCGCCATCATCAACAGAGTCAGGCTCAACCACCTCATCAGACCCTATTATTGATATCCGTTCTGATTCTGCATCAGACTCCAGTGACAGTTCACCAAAAGATGAGGCAAAGGAAAGCAGTACCGAAGAACCAGAAGTATCAACAGACTCTTCTAACACAAATTCCAAGAATTAAGACTGCAATATTTTGTGTTTGGTTTAAATAGAAAGTAAAAACTGGTTCCAAATGCACTAGAAATAAGTCATTTACAATGTCTTGAACTCTTACTGTCAAAACACAGTTAATGACACAAAGCATTTGTTTTAAATTAAGTGTAAATAAATACAACATTGTCTTTAACCATTATCGATTACGTTGTTATTTGATGTGTGTCATCCCTAAGAAACAGATACTACACCTCACGTATTGATATAAAATATTAAACCGGTGCAGGTTTATTTTCAAAAAATGAGGCAACGGTCAAATTTCAAGATAAATGAACGAGTAGACCACCGCGAATGATAGTATATATTCAAATAATAATGCTTGGCAAGTGACAGATTTCGGTGTGAGGTTATGAATGTTCAAAGTTCAAAATTACTAACAGTTGAGGCCAAATAAAATATTTAAGGAGCCGAGATAAGACTTGGCATGAATAAGAGGTATCGAAGACCATTATTTATATTACGGAAATATGATTCTGGCAGATATTTCACATTGTACATGATGAAATGGTGATTGTCGACAGGTATCGCATATGCAGCTTACCTTGACAGAACCCATGGACGTTTTGGGTGAAAGGACAAACCTTTCACCCGAGCAGATTTCGTCTCAAACTTCGTTAACATTCTTCAGCTTTCGAAACGATTACTATTAACGTGATAAATTCATGAAAATGATCCCAACAACATCGCCACGAAAGCACAAACACGAAACCGACTGACTAGCCGATCACCGCCTTCGTGAAAAACGCACTACGTTTCTTTGCTTGACAGGACAGCAGACAGCAGACGATGGGGTTTTGTTGATGATAGTTTTGTGGTTTTGTAGCTTTAGTTGATATCGGATCGCTCGATTTTGTAGGTCGCTCAGTGGGTTTTGTATATTTCCCAGGTCTAGTAATTGTAATTCAATATGCCACTGCAGCACGAACGTGTGTAAAAATCTTACTCCTCGTATGGCTTCCTTCATGTAACAATCTTTCAGTGTGATGGATATGGCAGCAGGATCTGAAAATGTATGTCAAAGTCGCTTTATTCGTTGTGTTCTTAGTTTGCTACGAATTGACCTTGTTTAATTTTTTTTAGCAGCATCTGTCAACTGTAATTCCTATTCCGAGAGATGAACCAAATTTAAACAATGAGATTCAAGACAAACGTCTCTGGATTGGTAATCTAGATCCTCGACTTTCTGAGTGAGTTTTCTTTTTCCAACAATGAGTTATAATTTTGTCTTCTATCCATTATATTGTGAATATTATAAATCAACTTTTTGTACACTTCTCTCCTTACGGGTACAACCTTCTGAAACTGCTCCAAAAATATGGCACAATTGATAAGTTTGACCTGTTATTTCATCGATCGGGGCCATTATCTGGCTTTCCCCGTGGATATGCATTTTGCACTTACAAAAATACAGAGGATGCAGTACTTGCCATGCAAAATATGGATGGACAGCTCGTTGGTAGTAAACAGATAACAGTTCGTTGGGCGCACTCAATGAGTAAGGTATGTGTGATTGTCAGGGGTCATTTAAAGCTTGTTGTTGCATCTTAAACATTATACCAGTTTCTTCTACTTTCATAGGATGAAATGGAAAGTAAACCAAAGGCTGAATTATCTATTCCTGTTCTGGCTGGTGCCAAATCAAGCAAAGCAGAAAAGAAACCTGTGAGGTAATAATCTTATCTTTATTCTTCCTACGTAAATTAAAATATAATCCAAATACTTTGCATGAATAGCCTTTCATAACTATCTGTGTTTCTTTCACATAGCAAGAAGACTGCTATACAAGCCATTGAGGCAAAATTAAGGCTCATGGAGCAAAGTAATACAAGTGATGAGTTTGAGATAAATAACTCTCCTGCTGCTCTGAGAAGCAAATCCTATATTCTATCTCAAGCCCAAAATGGTCACGATGCTCGCGACAGCAGACCCTCTCATTCAAGATTTGGGAGAAAGTATGATCGGAAACCATATCATAGAGGCCATCATCACAGATAACCTCGTACTTCCCTAAGAATATTTTGATGATCCTCTTTTGCTGCTTATTGATTGACTATTACTTATTCTTAGATCCCCAAATACAATGTTGTATTATGGACCCAAATTGTTTACATGACTGAAAGTATTGGCTAAAAATGGATTCCAATGGACTTTATATTTCTTTTTTAACTCTTTAGAATATAAATTTGTGTGAATTATTTATCATAGAAAAATTATTTGATACCCTGTTCAATTTTTACTCATATTGTCAATGCACCAATTGTAAATCACTACCAGTAATCAATGTTACTTTTCTATAATGATCTCGTAAATTAAAAAGAATGTTACAAGACCTCTGCTTTTTGTTTCCCTGATTGCACCCCACTGACCCAATGCAGCACCCCTCGTGGTCAAGGTACTATTTTAACAATTGTAATACCTCAGTAACACAAGAAAGCTACTGAACAAATGCCTTTGAGTCTCGTATTTGTAAATGTGCATTAATAGGTCTCGTTTGAATGACCCGCCCGTTCTCCTCGTACTCCCTCTAGAAAATAGATGACAGGTGGTAGCACCTATTGTTGCTCGTAGTCGTTGTGACAATCCCGGCGGTCTCGGCCGTCTCGGCATGACTTCCCATCAGCTCACGGAGGGAAGGCTCGCCGTGAGAGAAGCTGTGAAGGCAGCGGTTGCTGAAGAGATGACAATCCTGAAATACAGGTTCAAGTTCCTCCCCGACGATCTGCTTCGCGGCAGGGCTCTAAAGAATCTGGGCATACCGAGCCTTCCGAGCCGTTTCGACGGTCGTCCGAAGATAGCATGGGCCAGGATCGGGTAAGGGTAGGGAGTGGTGGTAGGGGCGCAAGTCGTTCTCCTAAAATGTCAGTAGACTTTAAAACCTTCTGGTTGGTTTTTATGACAGACCCTACTTCCGTCAACGAGTTCGCTCCAAACCCACCGACCACTCTGTGGTCCCTTCGTACGAAGGGCCGCGCAAGTTCTTCAAGGTTTCCTTGCCACGGCCGCCCGGGGTTCAGTGTCTCCATGGCGCACCCAGGCGGATAAGGGTGACGGTGACAGGCGCCTCGACTGAGGCCCCATCGGTAAATCAAACCCAAAATATATTCTGGAAAACATAGGTCATGGCTCTTTGTTCTTTTGTCTCTAAACCAACTGACATCCCTATCCCACTTTTCTATTCTTCTAGGATGAAAATGAACGTCCTTCTGCTCTAAGTAGTCATGAAGTTTTTGACAGTGAGTCCTCTCTAAATGACGATGATGATGAGTTCACTGTTCCGCGGAAAAGCCGGTCCAGTCATTCATTTCAATTTCAAGATGAAGATGAACGTCCTTCTGCTCAAAGTAGTCATGAAGTTTTTGACAGTGAGTCCTCTCTAAATGACGATGATGATGAGTTCACTGTTCCGCGGGTATGCAGGTCCAGTGATGCATCTCAATCAAAAGATGAAAACAAACGTCCTTCTGCTCAAAGAAGTCATGAAATTTTTGACAGTGAGTCCTCTCTAAATGACGATGATGATGAGTTCACTGTTTTGCGGAAAAGCATGTCCAGTGATTCATCTCAATTTGAAGATGAAGATAAACGGCCTTCTGCTCAAAGTAGTCATCAAGTTTCTGACAGTGAGTCCTCTCTAAATGACGATGATGATGAGTTCACTGTTCTGCGGAAAAGCAGGTCCCGTGATTCATCTCAATTTCGCAAGTTGCCATCTTTATGACTATACTCTTAAATTTGAGAGAGAGTACAATGGGAAACCATATCACAAAGGCTGGAGATGTTCATCCTACGCACAACTATTTTGATATGGCTACATATATCAAGCATAAAATTATACTCCAAATACAATGCTGGTGGCGTAGTATTAATCAAGTAAAACGGATTTATGATTTAAACAACCATGAACGTATTTGTTTAATTGACTATTTGTACATTTATGTCTGTAGACTATGTTGCAAATTAAAATTTTTGTTTAGTAATGAATAATGCATAATTGCAAACTAGGTACTGCTTACATCATCAACTATGATTTTCTACAATGATAATAAAAGTACACCCACATAGACACAAAAAAAAGTAATCTGTGAAAAATTTAATATTTTCCTCATCAACAAAAGCAAGCATGAGTAGTACTGAAAGTCAGCAGAACTACAAATATGATCTAGGATGGAACACCGTCATCTCGTTCAAAGAACAAGTACTTCCCTCTCATATGTTTAGGTAAAGGTATCAAGCCTGAACATGGTACCTGTCCAGGTACCCTACAAATGCAGCTGACTTTACAACCATATCCGAAGTTAGCAGGATTCACCGTAATTTGTTTGGCTTTGGCTTCTTCTGCAAGAACTTTCCTGTAAAATTGTAAAGTAGTAGTGAGACACATTATCACACAATTGATTTTGTTTTATAAGGGCATCTAAAAACTCACTTTGATTTACATAATGTATCAATTAAATGATCCTGAATGTCATCGTTTTCTTTCCCATCTATATCTACAACAATGTCACTTCCATCATCTAAAGGAAGAAGAAATTCATTAGGGTTGGTGAGAAATCAACTAGTAATGTAAAAATGTAGTAATTGTACTTCAACCAAGCAACTTCCACCAGTGTATTCGTACCGAGAAATACCCTAATGAATGGCGATGGAGTAATATTTCTGAATACTTGAACTTGAACATCAGGATTCTTAAATTGAATTTGTGGTAAGCACCAAAAGACGAACTCCCTGACAGAGAAACAAAACATAATGCATAATAATAACGATCGGTTACAGAGGTTATTGGTAAAGCAACTGTTAAAGTACCATCACAATAAAAATGGAGCTGGAGGGTAAAATCACAATTTTATGATAAGAAATAAGACGGAATAGAGAAATCTCAGTTTGCTTTACCTGGCACCTTTATGATGGTCCCCAACGGTATTGAAATTCACAGTAAAGATTTTTATCTTATCTTTTAGTACTATTCTTCCGGCTTCCAAATATTTGGCAGTCCTTCGTATAGGAGCAATCCCTTTCATGAACGGCATTGTTGCAGTATATTAATTAAAACTCTCCAAGTAATGGAAGAAAACTACTTAGAAAGGCGTGCTTTTAACCTCACGACTGATTCTGTTTACTATTGGGACCTATTCGCAGTGCATTTGCTGCGTATAAGAAGCTGTCTGCTTGCAGATTCCGGCCGATTTATTTCGCATACCATCGGTCGAATGTACTTTACTTCGGTGGTGGGGGGTAATAGCGCGGGAACTCAACTTGCCAGTTTTAGTTTGTTTTGACCGGCTTGACTTTATTTTGTTCATTATTGTGGCCTAACAGCCTTTCTTGTTCGGTTTCTTCCAGTCATATTGTAGCAGTTATCTTGAAAGAGGAGTAACTTTGTGTGATATCGTATTACTTTAATAGAGAAGTCCTAAATTCCCAACATGAGTACAGGTTAGACTTTTGTTGCCTTCTTCATCGTTGTTGTTTAGTTTAACTATGTTCCTGTATTTTGTTAATGTTTATGATCTGAACTGCAGATGACCCCACTTTTAATTATCATGAAGAGCTGAGAGCTCAAAGAGGTCAAACATCTGGAACTAATAAAATAGTAAGTACTTCTAACTCGACAAGTGTGGTTTCTTCTCTGCTTCTCTCTGTTTATTCTACATATTTGGTCTATGTTTTAGGATATGACTTCTGAAGAGCACCGTGAAAGCATCATTCAGCGAACAATGCATGCACTTTCTGTCAGTGAAAAGTTCACCGAACTACTTGTGAAGAGAATGGACCAGAGTGATGATGTGCGACAGCTTTTGCCAGACGTAGATTCTGCGCCCAAGGATAGTAATGGAAAGAAAAGGAAGGCTTGTGAGTCTCCAGAGGGCAAGGTAATATTTTAGATGTACAGCTATTTGCATCGTTTGTCTTTGTTTTCGCACCCAATCAACACTCATCTTAAATTTTTAGTCTAAAAAGATGAAGAAGGAAAATGATGGTTCAGCACAAGCTACTGATTCAACATATGTCAATGAACAGAACCTCAGAGTATCAAATCGACAACCCAAGCTTCTCTCAGGAGCTGTGATGCGTGATTACCAGCTTGATGGTCTTGACTGGTTGGTGGTGAGTTAATCTTGGCCTCGAAGGACCAGTCTTTCATTTTGTTGTAATTATGTTGTAACAAATTTTGCCCCTTCTCTCAACAGGCCTTAGACCTTAATGGAGCTAATGGAATTCTCGCAGATGAAATGGGTCTTGGCAAAACTCTTCAAGTTATATCTCTGATCAGTTTCTTGGTGGAAATGGGAGTTGGGAGTGAAGCTCCTTTCCTTGTTATTGGGCCCTTATCAACTTTGCATAATTGGGTTGCAGAATTCCACAAATTTTCACCAAAGGTAATTTCTAGACTTAAATTAAAAGTTTTATTTCAGTATCACCCTTTGTTTATTAATTAATTTTATTCACCATTAGATTCCTGTGATTCTATTCCATGGTTCTAAAGAGGAAAGAATACCTTTGAGTAGAAAAATTTTGGAGAAAAGGAAGGTCAATGATATTGAAACATATCCCGTAGTTATTACATCTTTTGAAATTCCTCTCAGAGATGCCTATTTGCGTACTATCAACTGGCGGTATCTTGTCATTGACGAAGGGCACCGCTTGAAAAACCACAAGTGTCTTCTTATCAAGTATAGTGTTTTCACTAACCCTTTAATTTTGTACTTGCATCACATTTACTGTGTCTGACAAATTCACCTCTCTAACTTTTTCCCCAGGGAGCTGAGAAGATACCGTTCGACAAATCGTCTTCTTCTCACTGGAACTCCTCTCCAGAACAACATGACTGAGTTGTGGTCCTTGTTGAACTTTATTCTCCCAAACATAGTCACTGATATGGATGTCTTTGAATGTTGGTTTGATTCTTCTTTTCTGGATGCATCAGATAGAAATGAAAAAATTGTTCAGGCTGAGGAAAAAAATAAGGTTTTGACTACACTCCATAAGGTTTGTACTATAAATCCAGTACCTCATTGTTTCCTATTTACTTCTGTATAAATCTCCTTGTGTGGTTTGCTTTTTGTGTTTTAGATTTTGAAGCCATTTCTTCTCAGAAGAGTTAAAGCTGATGTTGGTTTAAATATACCTCCCAAGAAGGAAATTATAATCTATGCTCCAATGACAAAATGGCAGAACAGACTTTATTCTGCAGTTGCTGACAAGACCCTTTATTCCTTGCAGGTATTAATGTTGTAGTTTTCCTTGTACTGTTTTTCAGTTTAAAAAAATAATCTTGATGTTTTTCCTCGAAACCTTAGGGCAAGAAAAAAGACCTGGATGACCCAGTTGCACTTGCCCGAGCAATTAGACGGAATTCCAAAATCTTTATGTCTGAAGCCACCAGCCCAACAGCTGAACAAGATGTACTTGCTGATGATTCTCGAGGAGCAGTGAAACAAAATTTACTTTCCCCTAAGAATTCCTCTAAACCAACTACTTCCAGAACAAGGTCAGATCAGGCAAATCTTTCAGAGCTCTCCTCTCCTCGGTCAACAAGAAATACCCCCAAGTCATCCCCAGCCATGAGGTCATCTTCTCGTGTGAAAAAGAGTACGACTGTTAAAGACGAATCCCAATCCAGTGAGATGTTGCCCACTCCAAGGAGAGCAAGAAGAAGGTGCACTGTTCAATCAGGAGATTACAAGCTGTTGGCAAATGGTGTGCCATTGAATGCCATCAGAGAGGAGCCTATTTATTGTGAAGATGACAGGTATACCTTCTCCTTCAAGTATTTTCTGATTTTATCATTATCATAAGCTCATCTATAACTTACACACTTATTTTCTGTGTTATTGCAGTTGTGATGAAGACATTGTACCAGACAAGCTTTTGGAGGGTCTTGCAGAACCAGATGAGGAATTTGTCACTGAAATGAAAATAGGGCATCCTGTTTCAATGTTAAGGCAGATATGCAACCATCCTTATCTAGCTAGTTTCCCTGTGATTCCTGGTACTAGAATGTTGAAAATTGATGACCAAATTGTGCAGCGCTCAGGAAAGATGCAAGTCCTCGATGCAATGTTACAGCGCCTCAAAAGAAATGGACACAAGGTATGGTATATGATATACTGTAGTTATTATCTAATTAATTAGCTATTTTAAATAACATAATTTTTCTTTCATCAAAGGTTCTTATATTCTCAAATTTCACAAAGATGCTAGATATTATAGAAGATTATTTACTTATGAGGGAATATCAGTATACAAGATTGGATGGAACTCGTGATTTGAGTGATCGCCAAAAAAATATTAAAAAATTCAGTGTAGATGAGGATGTGTTCATTTTCCTCATTTCTACACGAGCTGGAGGCCTGGGAATAAATTTAGTGGCAGCTGATACTGTTATCATTTATGACAGTGATTGGGTTAGTCTCAGTTGTGCAGAGCAATTCAGTCTTGTTCAATAATATGCTTAAGAATTCCTGAATGTCAATGTTTAATTTTGTTGTCTCTTTAGAATCCACAAGTTGATTTACAAGCTCAAGATCGTTGCCATAGAATTGGTCAAACAAAGCCAGTTGCTGTGTACAGATTTGTTGTAAAAGGAACAATTGATCAGCACATACTTGATCGGGCTGAGACCAAAAAGCAATTGGATAAACTTGTTATTCAGCATGGTAACTATTTAATGGTTCACATATTGATATGTGTTTAATTTAAGAGTATCAGTTCCTTACCACAGTTCTGTGTCTCTAACTCAGGAAAATTCAAAAATTTGAAGAAAAATGAGGTGTTTAGCCTACAGGAACTCAAAGAATTACTTGAGTCAAAAGATAAGAATGAAATTGACATTGAGAGTGGATTAGGTGAGTCAGCTTCAGCATTGCTATTGTTGAAGGAAGTACTGTATCATATCATTAATCTAGCATTAGCATTATTAATGTTGTCCTTAATTTTCAGCCTACACAAATGAAGAGCTGGATGTTCTCTGTGATAGAGCTGCTGTATTTGCCTTGGATAAGAATGAAGAGACATCTCCCTCTGAAGCTAATTCAGAAACTGCTCCAAAATTAGAGGTTCTCTCTGATATTGATGCTGCGAGTGAAGGGTCTGACTCTCAGGATGCCTTCAGCCTAAGCTCTGAACCTGTCTCTGAAACAAGCAGTTCCCACTCTCTTGTTTCTGGTCGCAGTGGTCTTTCCTTCGCAAGTGATTCAGGGTTCAGCAGTTGCAGTGATTTGTCTTGAAATTCTGGTCTTGAGCGAGAGCAGTGGCTGTGATATGATTTCCTGCATGTTTTTATTAATAATTTTAACAGCCAATTATCTATGCTCAAGTTTTAATTCAACTGATACGAAGCTGTCTTTTAATGATTTTGATTGAACTTTTAATAATTTTGTACCTGTATTACTGATCTGTATTAATTTACCTGACTTTTGTACCAGTATTATTTTCGATGTATTAAAACTCATTACTTCCCATTTAGCACATTTTTACCTTGTTTTAAAATTGCCCCATCCCCCATTTTTTTTCTTCAAAAAAATCCTTTACTCTGTGGTCTGGTAATGTAAATGGCCGTATTTACCGCGCCCTCCCCTCGCCGACGGTGTCCTGCTGAGGATTGGAAGGGGGGGGGGCGCGCGAGACTACAGAAAGGAGGGAGAAAGGTGGTGTGTAGGAGGGGGAGGAGGAAGA